CCTAATCTGCCACTTCCAATGACCCAGGTTAGTGTTAGTTGCTAATGTATCTTTTATTAACTAACCTCTCTATAGGGAGATATGCTGTATATGATAATTTTTGTATTTGTACTAAAAGTGTTTGTTTCTATATCCCATATATATATATATATATATATATATATATGTATATGTATATATATATATATATATATATATATATATATATATATATATATATATATATATATATATGTATATATATATATATATATATATATATATATATATATATATATATATATATATATATATATATATATATATATATATATATATATATATATATATATATATATATATATATATATATATATATATATATACATAAACATATATATCATACATACATACATACATATATTTGTATATGCAATACATTTAGTTGAATTATCAGAGTATAGCCTTTCAAATATATTTCATATACACAGAAAAGTGTATAATAAAAGTAAAATACATTAGCATATCAGAACAAGAGACTAAAAAGTACCTTCAAGGCCTTGGTGAAGAACTTGCATCACGGCCTTGCTTTGGTGTGAGGCATTTTATTTGAAAATATGCATGTCACTAAACTGCTGTTAAGTGATAGGGGGAAAAAATTGCATGTAGAAAGTTTCTCACCTAAATTCTTCACCAGTAATCGCATCTGATCTGGTGCCTTCAATTTTCTCTATCATATCTAAGTAATGAAGTGAAATGCAACTGCAATAGGAAAGAAATCATGTGCCATGATGTTTCAGTAATGACCTAGATTCAAAAGAGTGATTCTTCCTTTCTTGTTTTGGCCATGTTTAGTGTGATCTTTTCACACATATAGCTATGTTTACATTTTCCTAATTCACTTACTTGTGGGATCTTTACTTAAGATGTCAGAGCTTCTTCACCAGTTTTAATTAAAGGAGTTGGTTTTCTGTTAAGCCTGCATCTGCATATGCAATACAAAACACTGTGCATGTATATTTATTTTGAAAAGATACAGGGAAACCATACATATCAAACTACAAGTTTGGTCAGATTTCTTAATTCTGTAGTATTATGTAAAGTTAATTTACTGATTACTTAAGCAGATAATCTTCATGACTTTTTTTTTTATGTACTATCTTAGAAAGTAAGTTTGTAAATAAAAGTCTCGAAAAAAACACCATATTTACAATAAAGTATCTAGAGCAGTGCTTCTAAAGGGTATGTGTTATGTAACACATGACGGAAGTGAAGTATTCATGCTGAGAAAATTTTAGTAAAACAGTAAAAGGAAGAACAGAAAAACACACCAATATGTCAAAGGCATTTTTGTTATATTGCTTCTTCATATCCTGAAATAGCAAAATTGTAAAATGTCCCTTGGCATATTTGTATGTTATTCTGCTTTTCCCTTCATTATCTTATTTACAATGAATGGAAGTAAATGTGCTATCCTATCACTGATTTACCAAGGTAGCCTAATCCTAAGAGTCTTGTTTGCCCTCTGACTGAAAACGGTCAATTGAAACTTTTGTTAGAAGAATGATGATTGAATTGTCATGTTAATTTCTGTTTCTTTGCAAAACAAATACACTTTTTTCTTCATTTTGTTTGGGAACTTTTAGTTAAAGAACTTTCTTTATTCTCTTCCACATTTTCATACATTTCTACACGTTGTAGAACCACAGGCCTTCATTTCCTTGACCAGTAATGCAAGTCACTAACCAGCATCCCTTACTTCTCTTTGATGAATAAAGCAGACAACTAACCTCTAAAAATTACAGGAACAGTTCATAGATCAAGTGCATGGCAGTGGTGTTCTGGTGTATCTCTCCTCCGCCTGGCTAGGGGAAGTTTATCGCCAGGTGGTGAGGGACAGCTTCCTTCAGAGGGCTGGGTACTCTCCACACTCTCCTCACAATTGTGCTCTTATCAACTTACTAACAGGTACTAAATACTAATGTAGAAATTGCTTTTTTTTCTTCTTCATCAGCTGAGTTTTGTTTGGCTTTAGATTTGCTATTTTTTATTTGGATTATGCTTCTTCTTTTTAGAATGTTTATTTACGTTACTAACCAGAATTTATTAGCAAAAAGTATTTTCAGGTTTGTTTTTGTTTCTGCCAATTTTAAGCAGAAACAAGTTACACAGTTAAATGACGAAGAAAGATAGAAGCCCAACTCTTTTTTTCTTTTTACGTGAAGTTCATTGTTTCTTCTCGATTCTAATTCTTCTTATTTTAACAGTTAATTTTATTTTTCATCAGATCTGGAAAATGGCATGAGATGGTACCTTAGGCATGACGTTGGTAATGTTCATTTTTATTTTAGCTCGGTGGTGGACTTTCCTTTTCTATCCATGGCATTTACTTCAGTTTAAAAATCACATGTGGAATCTCCTTTTCAGGAATAAGTTTGATGATTTTAGTTATTAAGTTTTAATGAATGTATTGATTATGGCATTGTACTGTAAATTTGTATTAATGTTGGTTGTTCTATATGAAAGGTAAAGCAAATAGAAATTCACTCTGGATTTCTCGGTATTTAATCAGAATGAAACTGTGCTAAAATTATTATTTGAAAGTTGACGCCCCAACTGATTAAAATCACATGTTATCCATAGAAAAGGAATTTGCTTTAAGAAGGAAAAAAGGTGTTGTGTAGTAGAAAGTGATTAACAATGTGTATGATTTGTGTCTTGTTCATATGATTGGCCAACAGTGAGATAGAAAATAGGTAGTATATTAAGGGATGAAAAAACAAGTGGTGTTATGGATGAAAAAAAATTATGTAGAGCATAAAAGAATTGAAAAGGATATAGAATTGATTGATAAGGCTGATTTGGTGAAAAGAGCTTTCCAAAGGATGCAGGTATTTAACCCCTCAGCACTGGGTGTCGATATATACCATTCAAGCTCCCTACAGCCAGGTTATTGAAAGCAAGCTACCAACATGGTAACTACAGTTGACAGTTTAGGTACCTTCACTCCTTTCAACTCCAACCTTGTCAAGAACAACATCATCCATTACTACCAATTGCACATAAGTGTGTCACACTTTACTCATCTTTAGTTTCTTTGAGCATCTCATTGTGAAGCATCACAGAAGTTCCTTAGCATATCTCAGTAAAACATTCACAAAAGTCCTCTGACAATTGTTGGTGGAATGTTCCTGAGCAGCACTGAGGGGTTAAAAATGACAGTGGCATTAACCTTTGTGATTTTGAAAACTTATGAATTATATACATGTCACATGGGAACACCTTTGAACACCTTTGTGTATGATTATTATTTTTTATGTCCTATTCCTTATCATGATTTACATTCATTGGTATTTATCAATAATTATTCACTGAACTCTGTAGATCTAGATGGACTTGGTAGCAGTGAGCAAAAGAGTCAGCTGTTGTCAGATCATAGACGGCTGGAAAAAGCTGCAGCCAACATTACACACACACCACAGGTCCTGGCAGGTATGTATTATGTTCCTGCTTATGTGTACATTATATACCAGATTATTTGCCTCTCACTCTTTCGTGGAGATACAGTTCTAGTGAGGGGCATTTATTAGGAAAAAGTAAGAAGACTGTACATTCTTAAAGGATCTTAATTTTAAGTAACCTTAGAGAATTCTCTCTGTTGCTTTGTAGACACACATTCAGTAAACTATACTTAACTCATTGCCTCCAGCTGGCATGTATGTCATTCTATGCTGAGAATGGCTGTCTCATCTGGGACAGGTATGTCATATCATCAATACCTCAGTCAAAATACTGTTTATAGCTCTTCTGCAAAGTAGACTTTGCATTGTAGTGGCCAATGCTTTTGCAGAAATTTTGGCAGAAAAAAAATTACTAATGTCTCATTTTTATTAAACAAGTCTGTATCAGAGCCACAAACCAGGACTTTATCAGTAAATGAAAACAAATGCACTATGGCAGTGCAAACTTTGCACACTGCCACATTTACAGGCAACCTGGAGTTTAGACTTTTCAGTGTTTTATCTGGCTCAGAGGATTTCAGTTTTTGAATTAGTGCTTTTGATATACCTTTAGTGTATAGGAAAGTTTAAGCATTTTAGTGTTACTCTAAATTATTACAGTTCAATGATTCAAAGTTTGAAAGGGATAAGATTGATATTGCAAAGAAAAGGAAAGACCTTGAGGTCAGCAGAAGGATCAAATGTTCTTTGTATAAATTTGTTTTATTTCTTTTTCTTACAGTGAGGTCATAGTTTATTGCAGTACTTGATTAACACTGGCTTACTTTCCCCAGGGATGAAGCTGTGCCGTCGTATTGTAACATGTTGCTGGGAGAGTGTTGTGGGTGTCTTAGGAGCAGTCCTGGGAGGTGTGGGTGGAGGAGGACTCACTGGTCCTTTGCGTCATCTTTTGGGAGGAGAAGGAGCAAGAGAAGAGTCAAGGAGAGCACAAGACCTCTTAGCACAATGTCTAAATGCTCTGCAGTCAGCTGCTAGATTGGCTAATATATTGGGTAATTTTAATGTTATTATAAATTGATCACACTGGAAACCAGCCATGAAATGTCTGGTGTTATTTGAAAGTAGATAATGAAAAAGAATTACTATGGTTAGTACTTAGATCTTTTTAACAATTAGCAATTTATTCCAGGACTCCAGAGTCGATGTGGTGTGGTGTTTTCCCTTCTATCATCAGCCTGTCTGCCTAATGATGAACGCAATCCAGTTAGCACACCCAAGCGTCATAGCCTAAGATCGCCAGCATTTTCTAAGAAGATTCAGCGGCTCCATACAGCACATTTACTTTCCTTACATGTGATGATGTCATCAGGTTTAGAGCTTGGTTCTCATGCATCTGATTGTTGGACACACATTTTTAAGTAAGTTTTTATCAAGTTCATACTGTTAAGATATAGCCTTTTCTGAAATACAGTCTTCATACTTGTATTATATGCTCATTACACAGCTGTTATGCACACATTCACAGACCATTGATGATGTTTATGATGTACACATGACATTTGATGATTTTTATGATGTGCACATGACATTTTGATGTGCACATGACATTGATTATGTTTATGATGTGCACATGACATTGATGATGTTTATCATAAGAACAGTAAATATCATCTTTTACTGGCTTACTACCATCATCAAATTATCTGTTACCATGTGTCTCTTTTAATGAAGCTATACATTTTCAGATGCTGTGTATATCTGTCAGAACTTGAGCACCAGTTCTTCAGCCACACAAGTGGGTACCAGTCATTCCCTCCCAGATTTGCTCCACCATCAATGAACAGTGAGAAATCAGGACACTCTGCCTCTGATGACATTTTTAGGTATAGTGGAAGGTTTAGATTAGGCTAATGTCTTATGTACTGATGTTATTTATTTTGTTATATATGCTATTCAAGCTGTTACTTATATTTTGTATTGTTTATTCAAGACATTGCCTGCAGTTTGCAGTCTGTTAAATTCAACATTTTAGCTGTTACTTATATAGTATATTTGAACTGTTACTTACATTTTATATTCTATTAAATTTGATATTGAAGATGTTATATACCTTTTCTGACAGTGAGGATCCATACCAGTATATTGTGCCTATGTCACCCCTGGCCCCAAGCATGAATGTGGAAGAACTGATTCGAGAAAGTCAGAGTGATATAAGTAACACTGGCTTTCTCTCACCACAAGACACTGGTAAAGCAATATGTGCTCTCACACAAATGGTTGACAGGTTGGTACACCTCTTTAGTATTTGAGACTAATCTTTTTTCTTATCTGTTTTCCTTTCCATATGAAATGACAGTCAGTTATCAAAAATTGGTGTTTCTTAACCCATTCGCAATGGGTTGATCTCCCATCATGTCAGACTATCCCTCACACCTGGATGATGATGTCATGTAATGTTCATCTGAGCCTGCCTCTAGATTATGTGTGCTAAATTGTAGTGCACTTGTTTGGCTCTAGCAGCAGTCATTGAGGAAATATAGTCCCTCAAAAGTAGGTTTATGCTGTTTTTCAGACTCATTATTTAAATCTTGTTTTTGCTGCATTCAGTAGCATACAAAGAGAAGTAAATTAATGTTATCTGTGCTTTAAATTTTTTTCGATCAGCTGACTCCGGCACACCCTGATGTGTGAATCACTCATCGGAACTTAGAAATCCTGTATCAATCAACAGGCTGTTTGATGATGCTTCGACCAAGCTAAACATGGGTCATGCAGAGTTGTGTGCTGCATCTCAGGCACAGCTTTTCTCCCGGATGACTCCTCAGACACCTAAAAAGGGCCTTATGAAGTGGCCGAGAAAGGTAACTGAATCAGTCGGTTACAATATTTCTTTAATTTCTAGAACTACAAAATTTCCATAATAACAATTATTTTTCCAATATTGTTTGTTTTATATGCAGCATGGAAATTTTCTCTTGAGATAATGTGGTTTTATTGTTTTTCTTGATATTCTAATTTTGTCTCATTCCTGGAAACAGACTATGGGAGGTACAGGAGCAGAGCTGGGCAAAGGCAAGGGGGGAGATATACTCCTGCTTCACCGACTTGCCGAGGTCATGCTTCGTGCAGTCCGATCTGGCCGTCCACTTCTCCATATCATGCGAGCTTGGGCCGTTGCTGGTCCCCACTTTATGGAGGTAAGCTGTTGAATTTTAAAACATACTTATTCCTCAATCAAATGATTGGATATATCTAGAAAAACATTGAAAACTATTTTTGAGCACTGAACACTACTGATATGATGTACACTTTATCTTCCTTGCAGGCAGCTTGTCATAAGGATGGGGCAGTTAGTAAAAGGGCAGTCAGTTCTATACATGACATAGTAAATGCCATATTGAGCAACCAGACAGAGCTTCCTCATTTTCACTTCAATGAGGCATTATTCAAGCCATTTGAAAACCTCTTGTGTTTAGAACTTTGTGATGCTGATATACAAGACCAGGTAAGTTGTTAGCAAGAAAATAACTGATATTGACGTTGCTAGATAGTAACTGATGTTAAGATAGCAAAGTAGTAACTGATATTAAGATATTGAGATAGGAAAATAGTAACTGATGTTAAGATGTCAAATTAGTAACTGATATTAAGACGGCAAGATAGTGGCTGATACTGATATATCAAGATGGTAACTGATATAAAGACTGTAGAATAGTAATTGATATTAAGATGCTTATATAGTAACTGATATTAATATAGGAAGATAATAATTTCTATTAAAATAGTAACTGATATTTTGATGGCAAGATAGTAACTGTTATTAAAATACTATGAAGGTAGTATAAAAGGAACTGATGTTAAAAAAAGCAATATGGTAACTGATTTTTAATAGCAAGATAATAACTGAAATTAAGATAGCAAGCTAGTAACATTAAGATAGAAGATTATAATTGACATTGATATCTTGGTATGAGAGTTCAACTTCTAAGATTATAAGAGGTAATTATAGGTATATATTGTGCCATAATTGATGTGAATGTTGAAATTTGAGCTATTTTCTTTTCAGATTATAAGCAGTATTTGTGAGTTTGTTGAAAGCTGCACTCCAGAGATAAGGTCAGGTTGGAGGCCATTGTTTGGTGCCCTGCGTTGTGTTCGACCCCCAAGTGCCCTGCCTTCACCTTCAGTGCCAGGAGGTCTGCCTGGTATGGATTTGCTTAATTATGACTTTAAAATTTTGTATTTCAGATTTACTACGTTTCAATTTGGATTTGTTATTATTAATGGAAATGACAATAACGGGGTTAACACTATATTGAAAGGGTTAATTAGAAGAATTTCTAAAACAGGTTTTATATTTGAACAAACTTCATTTCATGTGTTTACTTAGAATGAACTGTAATTTATGTTAGCCTATACTTTTGATACAATGGGTAAAGATGTTGTTAACTAATATCTTTTGATTTTTACAGGAGTCAACAACACATGCGATAGTATGGGACACCTGCATGTTGTGCGAGATGTGTTTGAAGCATTTTTGGCAACAGATAATGTTCTGGTATTTGCAAATGCTGCTCTGGATTGTGTTCTATGCCTCCTGAAGCATGTAAAAGGTTCAGGTAATATTTCAGTGAAATTTAAATCTATTTGTCTGACAGTATTGGATATTGAAGAAAGAAATATAACTTATGATGGGGTATTCATGTTTTTTATTGTATTTAAGAGTTGCTCTGACATGTATTGAATAAATGCATATACTAAAAATCATTCTGTTTTGTGATTCACCATATGATATCCATAAGATAGACAAATTGTAGCAGATATATATGCACTATTTTTTCCCATTTTCAAAGCTTTGAAAACAATTTGCAGGTGAAGAGGAGAGCACTGATGAAACTGTGGTTGGATGGGACGAACTTGTGGGAGGTGACTTGTGCCTTGATGCCCTCCGCTACCTGCATCGGTGTGCTGCTATTCTTGCCTCCATGTACCAGATGCCAGCATGTCCTGTCTTCCATGCTGCTCACAGGTCCTCTGAAGTTCAGTTGCTTAATGTGATTGTGATAGGGACATAGAAAGTGATTTATGTATAAGCAGTTTGGATGTAGAAAGTGGTAATATTAGCGAAAGGTTATTATGTTTTATGACTTAAATGTGATTTCTTTTCAGTTTGTAATGATATATGAGATATTCATTTAGCAAAATTCATATAGATTATTACAGTTTCCTACAATACAAATGATTGCAAAATCTAGATATTTTTTTACTAAAGTTGATAGCCAATAATATTTTGATTATTGCTTTGCCCCAGAAAATATGAATTGATTCTTTTAATAACCCTAATGGTAATAATTTTTTTGCAGGATCACAGTGAATATGCCACCGCAGCTTGTAGACCCACATCTGCCCAACATAGATGAAAATCTACTTGGATCATTGCTTAATGAAATAGCTTGCATGGAAGTGAAAAAGGTACATGAATGCATTTTCTGAAAAAAATCATAATATGAAAAAGAATATTTATATATTTTTCCTTTTACAAAGTTTACTGGATTGTTCTGATGAGATTTCTTGTTGCAAGTCTTTAAACATATAAAATTGCTTAAATATATATATATATATATATATATATATATATATATATATATATATATATATATATATATATATATGTGTGTGTGTGTGTTGTGTGTGTGTGTGTGTGTGTGTGTGTGTGTGTGTGTGTGTGTGTGTGTGTGTGTGTGTGTGTGTGTGTGTGTGTGTGTGTGTGTGTGTGTGTATATGTATATGTATATGTATGTATATGTATATGTATAATGTATAATGTACATGAACATATATATATTGCTTACATTTATGTTGAAACTGATTAATATCAGTGAACTGATCATTATGATTAAGGTTCTTTGTGAAGACCATAAACAGAATACATTATTAATACAGATAATTGCTTTTAAAAAACTGTCTCCACTGTAATGAAATATATGAGATACAAACAAAAAGTTTTTTTTCACCTCTGTAGGCCTATATCTAGTACTCACCTAGAAAATACTTCATTTCAGGTTTCCTATCAAGCACTGTGGCCTTCTGCAAGTAATCAAGAAGTGACCCTGATGATGCTGGACCATAGCAGTGGGATCCTACAGGTGTGGTACCTGCTCCTTGAAGGATTGGCAGGAGCTACCATGACCTGCCCTAGACGGTACCAGCCCCAGGCGCTTGACACACTTTTCACCCTCTTGCGTAGTTTACCAGATTGTCCTGGTAAGTTTCTGAGTTGCAAATCTTCTAGTAACATTTTGATTATTGCTTTGCATGATCATCAACCTTTTTAATGTTTATTGTTTGATAGATAAAGTAAACAGAAAATATCGCTCTCTCTCCTACAGGCCCTATGTTTGGGATGTATTGTGTGAACCACTTGTTGTTGCCACTGATGCAGGGATGGCTAAGGAGATCGTATACTCTTCCATCCAACAGTTGGGATTTTACTGCATCATTCAAACAGTACACTGGATTAACATCGGACCTTGTTGTGGAGTACCTCTCAAAATTAGCTAACAAAGGTATGAAGTATGTCTGTTCACACTTTTGTTAGTGATGGCACATACTTTCATATTGAAACTGAAATTTAACTGTTTTAGATAGATAAATATATGCAATTTTCTGAAGGTAGAAAATATCATAATTTTTTAATGGCTATATATGATTTTCTTCATTCTAGGTGTTTTGTCGGAGACTCCTGGAGCTTTGTTAATGCTACAGCAATGTTTGCTGGTGCTTGTGGAGTGCATTACTCATCCCAGTGAAACAATATCAAGACTAGGATGTGCATGTATTAGGTAGGTTGCTCTGTAACATCTTATTTTTTTCCATTATGGTAATTAAAGAAAGGATAAAACTGTTTGTAAAACTATTTCTGTTTATTTAGAGACAGGAAGATTTAGATGTGTTTACTGCATCCTTTTGTATTTCTTATTTTTCTAAGGATATGATTTATTTGTGGAAGAGAAATTTAAACCTCAGAGAATTAATAATATGAAATAATGTAAAACTCAGTGACTACATATGATAACTATATCCTATGATATAGAACAGGTAGTTGTCATGTAGGAAAACAGTCCCTTTGAGATGAAGTGGAGGATTCATTCATTGAGCAAAGTGTGAAAAAGTCTAACAAAAGTGATAATGGGAGGAAAGTTTATGCCCCAATTTTTACTTAGTTAATTATATTATTTTTGACCCCATTGCAAAAAAGATAGCTTTATTTAGATTAATACTTTGTACTCTAACTAAAAGTATGGTTCATGCATGGCATCTTTAAGCTTTGGTATTAAACTTTGAGGTATTACCTTTCATACTATTCAGTTTCATAACCTTATTGGAATTTAGTTAGTTTTCTATAATTTGTTTATTTACAAGATGTTAAGTCCAGATCTTTACAGCTGAAGACTCTATTAGAGTTGGGTCAATTTTGAAATGTTCTTTAATAACAAAAGCAAATCTGACATTGATATCTTTCTTTCAGACATGTGATCAGCAGTTGTGGTGAACATTTACCTCCAGAATACTGGGATGTTGTGGTCTGTGGCTTGCACCGTTCTTGCATGGTATGACTGGTGTGCTTTTCTGTTTAAGGTTTACAGTTGGTGTAGTGTATATATAAAATGAATTTTATTCAATATCCATATATATATTTAATATGCATTTTGTGTTTATGTACCCATATATTTGTATAATTGTACTTATGCATTCATCAGCATTTTTTCATTCATGTATAACATCAGTTGGGAAAATATATTTCTTGATGCATTGTGTTACCTGGTTCAGATAATGAGTAAGTGTGTAGCCAGGACTTTAATGTATGCTTCTCATTATCTTATTTGAATTAACCCCAACATGAGGGGGCCAGAATTTCCTGTGACATAATCATTACACAACAGTCTAGTCTTTCTAGAAAGGGTGTATGCTTTGTACAGCCAGCCCACCTTCTCACTTGCTAGAGCGAGTCATGATGTGTATATGTGTCATATGTGATTATGTCATGATGGCTGTAGCTGCACTCGTCACTAAGATGTTAAGCTCGCCTGCTACATATCACAGATGGATAGTAAACCAATTTACATGATTTATTTTATTTACAGGTCTCACTGTATCCCCTGTACCAGCTGATGAATCTCTTTCATCCCGAATCTCCCAATTTCTATGGCGATGTGGGCCAAGTGAAGGTAGCGGCTCGAAGAGACTGCACTGGGAAAGACAGTGATCGTCTGAGACAGCTCTCTCACCAGGTTCATAATAATGTTTCTTATGTGTATTGTAGAATTATTGTGGTTTATGTCATTTATAATGATAAAAAAGGTAACTATGTATATTCTAATTACACTACTCCTTCCAGGTATTCTTATTAGATACACAGAGAAGTAATATATCTGCTGCAGTGGATAACCCAGATGCTGAGGATCGCTCATTCATATTCCTGCTGTACCCTGAAGATCATGGACATGCTAATGTTTTGCACAGCTGTAGTTTTGAGGCAAATGATGAAGAGGAACCAGTTCGAGTACCCTTTAGAACTTTGATTGTTGGCCTCCTTGCGCATCAAATTCTCCTACAGACACTAGGATCTTTCTTGGTTCAGGGTTCTCCTCATATTATACCAAGGTACATAGAATTTGAAATGTCTCTCTGATCAAAATAATGCCAAAACATTGTTTTGGCATTACATGGATTCACACTATTTTATAATGCTTATAATTTTGTTTTTCTTTCTTTTTTACAGTTTGGCAAATGTAATCTTGCAAGGCATGGGGTTCTCAAAGACAGAGAGTGAAGATGGAAGGGTTGCTGAGAGTGAAGGAAAGGTTCCAGGATTTCTTCGTTTTATGAGACCAGATCATATACAAATTTTGATGGATGCTCTTCAGCAGTCCTATACTGCAGCTGTTGAATTTGATCGTCGTCCTGGGCTTAAATTTTTGATCCAGAAAGTTGCACAAGCTGAGAGAGCAGCAAATTTGTACAAGCAGGCAGGAGCCAGCTGGACACTTCGGATGGTGACACTCTTTGACCTAACACTTTCCCAGGTGAAACATGGTTTAGGATTAAATGAAGTTAAGGAAGTTCTCGAAAAAGATGTTAGAGCAAAGAACACACTCAAGAGACAAGATGACAAAGAGGAAGAAACCGAAGGATCTCAGGCTAACAAAGTATTACAAAGACCAACACAACTGTTGAAAAATGATACAATTCAGTATATTCAGATGTTAAGAGCTTCATTCACAGAACTTTGTGAGGTCTATTTAGATCTGGTCATCGACAAAGATGGACATTACTCGGCAGTTGACAAAATAAATGACCAGCCGATATTCTTCCTCACAGTGCAGCCAGATGAGTTTCCTACAGGTCACCGTAAGAGTCTAGCACAGTGGACTAAAAGCTTGGAAGAATTTAATAAGCAGTATATCAAGGGAAAAACAAAGGACTCGGAGGTGAATGAAGAAGACAAGGAACCAATTGCAGGAACCATGACAATTGGTGCTGGCCCTAATAGCACATCCTTGCCAGGGAACCATCCCAAAAAGGCACAGGAGCAAAATGAAGTCCGTCCCTTTACTCTGGCAGACTTCGCTCGAGAATATTCTTCCGATTCTGAGGATTCCGAGTCGCCAGAATTTGCAGAAACAATTGACTCTGGTGTTGCAAGTTTGGCAGGTGAGGAGATTAGTATTTTATATATATGCTGTCACCTAGATATTCATCTTTACACATCTATAAATATTTTTAAAGTTAACATGGCAGCCACCATCATTATACCTACTGAACTTAATAAAACCCAATTTAGTGGGCCATGGTAAACAAGATGGCCCCCAATTAACTCAGTTACTTAAGACTTGGGTACTGATATTCATAAATTTAAACTGTGACCTTTTAATAGTCAATATCAGAGATAGAAAAGGGCATCTCCTTTGTTTTAATGTATTGCCAAAGTCTAAAACTCAATTATATCTGTAATGGGTGCTGCATTATAAATATACTTCCTCTTCTAATAGTTCTACCATAGTTGCCGTACGGGTCAGATTCGTTTTTCATTTTTCATTGTGTAGGCTTTGGTACTGATTCACTCCTTAAATAGAAAATAACACTGTTTCCCTCTTTCCAGATGGGCATCAGAGCATATACAGAGTGGCCACCGAGCGGGACATAGCCACTTTGATGACAGATTATAGGAGACGAAAGAATCAACATTCACTTCCTTCCATGCATAGAGAGAAGAGATCAAATCCCTTTTTGGAAAGAAAACCAAGCAGGCCGGCTGATCCTGTGCCACAGGAAATCGAGGAGCAAAGAACTAATAGTCTAATGAAGGTAAAGTATAGGAAATGGTGCAGATGTGCCATTCCAGCAATTATTTTTGTGTTTCTTTAGTCATGATCATCAATGTATGTAAATGTGTACATGTGTATTATTATTGATGTTATGTCACTTTTTTATTATAGTTTGTAATGATTTTGCTTGGTTTTACTGTAGTTGTGTATGCATTAGGTTATTGTTATTAATATAGTATGATTGCATTTCAGTTGTTACTGTAAATGTTTTTTCATGTGTCATTCAGTGAACATTAGCTGAACTTTTGACCTTTTACCAAACACAGGACAGTGAAGCTCACCTGAAAGTGTGGACAGAGATGGTTGTGACTGTGTTTGACCTCATCAGTCAGCTGAGTGATTCTGAGCTGCGTCCACTGTTGCCTCTCCTGTTCCCAACTGTGCGATCCCTAACGGCACATGCACATGACCCCCACCTGCGGCAGGTGGTTGCAGAGCTCCTGACCAGAGTTGCAAATTTGTATGGTTTTAGTCCAGCAGAGTGATGTATATCTATATCTCAGATGAAATACAACAAAAAATAATTTTAATGATAACAAAATGGTACTGTTTCCTGACATAGTAAAGTGTCATATTTCAGTGTTCTAAAATATATGGTACTAAATAAAGTGTGAATATCAAATTTATTTTGTCACATAGCTTTATGGCTTTCTTGAGAATGCGGTTTTATCTTATTCTCCTGTGATTGGTGTTTAATTTATTATTTTATTTTTTGAGAAATGTTTTAATCATTAATATCATGATTATGCAAAACAGTCCTGTTTATCAGATTTAGTGTGGACCTTTTAGTTGTGATTAATGTCAGTCATTTTGAATTGTACCTGCTTCACACACAAAGTAAATATATATATATTCTTTCTCTCTTTATTTCCTTTTTTCTTTCCTTTTCTTTTTGTTATAAAAAAATAATGAACTCTTGTTTATACAATTTTTAAATATTTATTATAGCTGATATTTTATGAAGAAGGAGACTATCAATATGAATTTTGTATGATTGAAAGAAGCTGGAAGTTTATCCTGCATATGCTAATTATTTATATTTCACAAAATGTTTACCAGGTGATAATGAATGTTGTGATATTTAATAGAACTTTGCATATAGCTATATGCTAATTGTTATTAAATCAACATTAGTCTACGTGATGGACATAACACTCCACCATGTTGATACA